CATGCCTTTTAAGCTGTGGATGAAAGAGATTTCTAGCCTTAACAGACAACTGTTACATTTTTCAAACATTAATTACTTGGCTGGGTTTCCCGTGTTTGCTTTCTTCTCTAGTAATTCTACAGAGTAAATCAAAATATTTTTAGTCATTTAGAATTACCAAGCTTTAAACAAAATATCTTTTCTGGGTAAACACCTTAATCTTTCCCTTACCAAGCTCTTTGCTTAAAGAACTTATTTTTACCCCAATATCTCACTAGCTGAAGTATGACCTTTCATCATACTCAATGACGTTCACTAACACTCAGTCAAGAGCATGAAGAAGCCCCAAACACTGCACTATCACAGTGCTTCATCGTTCAACCCTTTAGCAGTCGTGGGGTCTAAATTGCAAAATGAACCATTGCAAACCTCCAACAGTAGTGTCAGAACAACCTTGGAGGTCTAAAATAAATAAATAACTAAATAAAATCCAGTCTGGCAAATATCACTGTCCTCTCCAAGACAGGAAAGGAGTATTTTTTAATACTGGCAAACACTACTACAAACTGACACGCGGCATGCATTGCAATTGCCTCCTGCTGAGCCACAGTACAGATAACCTTCACGTCCTCCAAGTTCATTTCTAAATCAAGTCTTGTCAAGCACATCACATGCATCAGCCATAAAAGATGGTTACATTAGTGGCAAGTCTGAATGTTTTAAAGAAAACTGATTTTTTAAAGACCTCCCTTCAAATACATCAGAACAGCTTCTCTATATTCGCCCAGACAGTAGAACTAGTTAGTTTAACTTTTCAGAGATAAGAGGTTTTGCAAAGATGAGAAAGTATTGCCAAAAATTCTTTATCAAAGTTACAATAAACTCAGTGTCGAGAGGCCTGATCCTTTCTAACCACAATTACCAGAAGCATACTTCCACAAAACATATCAGTCAAGCAAGATAATGCAAGTAGTACAAAAATTCATATTTCCCAAATGCGGAACATAAAAGGGGCATATTACATCAGTCAACTCTCCCTGCCAAAAAGAGTTTTACATAACAACCATATTTTTGTTATGGGATGAATTAAAACTAGTTGAAACTGATACGCTTAAATGCCTCCCTTCATTTAAAATAGCCCTGAGACAATCACACACGTTTCCACCAAAGCAAAGGCAAAATTCTCCAGGAATTTTGATACCCTGGACAAAAAAAGCTTGGCCTTGCTACCAGCTTATAAAAACAACACAGAAAGGATCTAGAGAAGATAGGCAAGCAGCAGCTCTAATAGACAAAGGAAAACAGCACTTAAAAAGATTCAATGGGCTGCAGAAATACCATACAAACACAAGTGTAAGGAGCAGCTTTTCAGGTTACATAGCACTTGACACAAGTGGTCTGGATGAGAGAGGAAACCACTAATTTCACTGTGGTTGTGATACTAGGCTCTAGCTCCCAGTCTTCCAGTTTTGCAAGGAGAACGGCTAACTACAAAATGAACTGCTACTAGCAGAAAATACGTCAGGAAAGCAGTATACTAATACTCAATACTTGAAGTTTACCTATACTGGGTAAAGTTCCTAGGTGCAGGAAAACACCATTACAACAAGCAGAAATATTACACAGGCCCCTCTATCTATACACCACCCATTTCATCTCCCTCCAACTTATTCTCAGGTTACAGCTGCTTTTCTTCTCCAGCTTGATCACGTGTAAATAACACTCTCCCTTACCTCAAGTAATTTTACACTGAATTTATTGTCAGCTTTCAGTACATTAACACAGAGCCCACAGTACAAAGCTTTAAGAGGAGGAACATCAAACCCACATTTGGGAACGCTGCCTGCCACCCTACGTGCGTCTTTGCACTCGGAAAGCCACGCAGCCTTCCCGAGAGCACGGCGCGCTGCGAGCTCCTGGCAGTACTACTTCAGTACTGCTTCAGTACTACTGCTCCGGGCAAGCGGCGGCTGCGTCCAGCAGAACTTGCGAAATTCCTGACTTCCAATCCAATGCGTAAACCACAACATCGCGGGGGAGAAAAACCCTAGACATTTGCATTTACTGGCCATGCCTGCCGTGTTTCAAAGGAGATTCTCGCTTGCGAGGCAGTACATGCGTTAGGTCTGCTCAGAAAACAAAGGGGACTAGAAGGGGTTTTAGCCATTCTGCCATCAAACAGCAGGGCTGAATCCAGCCGAGGACGGCCCACGGGAAGAGGGAACGGCCAGGTGAGCCGGGGCTACCTGGGACACGCTCGCTAGAGAGCGGGCAGCCG